ATTCTTAGCTTTGACAAATGTGCCATGGTTATGTAAGATGTTAACATCAAGGGAAGCTGGGTGAAGGGCATGTGGGAATTATCTTTGCAGTTTTTCTATAAATCTAAAACCATTCCAATATAAGAAGTTTCTTTTTTAATTATAGTTCAGTAGCTGGTTCACAGATGTGTTGTCTGCTCCTGCCCCAGAGCCTTTGCACTTGCTGTTCTGTCTGTCTGTAGGGTATGTTTTAGACATCCATGTGGCTCATCCGCATCTCTTCTATGTGTCTGCTCAAATGTCATCTTAGTGAGACTTTCCCTGATCACCATGTTCAAAATGAGAATCCCCACCTCTCATTTGGAATTCCTCACTTCCCTTCCCTGCTTTATTTTCCTCCATTGCATATATTACCATCTGCCATATTAGTTTTCATGTCTTATTTATTGTGTCTGCCCCTACTAAAAGTATCCTCCCTTAGGACAGGGATTTGGGTCTTTTAATTCACTGAAGTATCCCCCAGGCTCCAGTATAGAGCCAAATAGATAGTAGGTTTTCAATGAATAGTTCAGTGAAAGGAGCCAGGCAGGGAAACGACCATAAGAGAAAGCAAGGCACCAGTGGAAACAAAAAATGGAGACAGTGTCAGCTGCGCCAATCTGGCTTTGCTAATAGATGATGAGAGTCTAAGGCTTAATTACTAATGACGGATGAGATGCAAGTTCAGCTGTGTTTTCACAGCACTGAGCCATGTCTCCTTCATTTTCATATCCCTCCTTCTCAGCACATAACAAGCACTAATGAGTGAATGGCAAGACTCCCTGACTAGAGAGGCAAGGACAGGTAATAAAGTTGGAGCCCTGATGGGGATCTGGGCTTGACCCTTATAAGGGGGAAGGTGTTTCTAAAATATGTTTGTTTCAACACAAGGAAAGCGAAACCTCATTCATTTTCAAAGACAATGGAGGTCCATTAAGGACTGATGCTACAACTACCTTAAAATAGGTACCATTTTGTGGTTGTGGAGAAGGCCCCAAACCACAGGGTCACCACCACATGTACCAGTTTTCATAAACAAGGACTCACCGACTGGGGGGGGGCCTGCTCCCTATTCGAGCAAGGCCACTTGAGAAGGAAGCAATGAGGCAAGGACTTAACATAAATCACTCCCTGTCTTGTCCCCTCGGTTCTGCTCTTAGCTGACTAATCCGCACAGTACAGTAGAATAACACTGACAGCGAGCCCTGTGCCGTCGATTAGCAGGGACTGTGAGCCCTGCACCCAGTCTTCTAAAGCCGCGTCATCCGTGGGTGAAATTTAGCTGTAATTCTCTTTCCTCTTCCTATTTTTAAGGTCAAAATGGTGGCTTTGACTCTTGGTTGTTGTTTTTAAACTATATCTTTGTTAATTTCAGAGAGAGGAAGGGAGAGGGAGAGAGAGAGAGAACCATCAATGATGAGAGAGTCGTCATTGACCGGCTGCCCCCTGCACGCCCCTGACTGGGGGTCAGGCCTGCAACCCGGGCATGTGCCCTGACTGGGAATCGAACCACCATCTCCTGGGTCCTAGGTTGATGCTCAACCACTGAGCCATGCCTGGCTTGGCAACGCTTTGTTCTTTAATAAGATGTTTTCACTTTGCCACAGTTATATTGCACGATAAATTGCCACAGGCCATACTACTCCCTGTGGTCATTGACCAAGCAAACTCCATATATACTATTTATATGCTACTGAATGTACCCAGTTATCATCAAATATTTATAAAAGAACCATCAAGAGCAGCATATTGGATGTTCAGAAAATAAGAAGAAACACAAGACACAGTCTGCCCCCAAGAGGTCTATCATTTAAGGAGAGCCAAGGCACAGCCAGTAGAAACAGCTATGCTGGGTGAGTGCCAGTCTTCACTGAGAGATTGAGTAAACAAAACTCTTTGACCTGGCGATGATGTCATTTGTACAGATTGCTATTCAGATTGAAATTAGAGGAGGCAGTGTTGTGTTATAGAACAGGGAGACCTAGGTTTTAGTGCCAGCTCTACCATTAAATCACATGGACAAAGTCATTTAGTTACCCTGAGCCCCACCTTCCTAAATTTGGGAATGGGAGTATTTTCACCTCTAGACTTCACAAATGCCAGTCTGAAAACCTCCCCCATTTCCATCTAAAACAGGCCATGATTTAAGAAGTTTTGACCTAGATGGATCATTTAGAATGATCATCAATTATTCTTCACTTATCACATAAGTGGGCACGCACACACACACACACACACGTTTGTCTAATTCTATATATGGTAGGATTTAAACAAGCCTGGCTTGAATCCCAGCACAACCAATTCTTCTTTTTTAGGCTCATTAATATATTAAGCAAGCCTTCCGGGTTCAGCACATTCCCAAATATGGTTTATCTATAATCTCTTCCTTTGCTACCCTCATTTATCAGTATTTTGCTCAACACATTGTTCAATACAATGAGAAGGCTAAGAAAAATGAAAGACCCATCTGTTACTGTATTGTGTGTGTGGTAAATGTCTCTTCCAATACAGCAGATTCAGGCACAGCTCTGATCAAGTAGTCTTACCTAAAATAACCATTATCAGTAAAACCTGATGACCAAAAGACTTTTAATCCTCTAACTTCACTCCAGCATGATAATAATTTTTAAAAATTCAAATAACAGTAATATAAGAAGCTGGTTTTATAACTGCCTGGGGCATAGTTTCAGGAGTTTCTGGTGGGAGGGAAGCTCACTTTTCACTCGATGTCTTTTATTACTTTTTACAGATTTGCCATGGGTTTGTGTAAGTTTCATTATAATAAAAATTAAAAAGCAATATTGGCCAACACTTTTTGTGTATTTGCTATGTGCCAGGCCTTTTATGTGCATCACCTCAGGTAATCGTCCCAACAACTCTAACACAATTGTTTTTAAGTTTCTCCTTTTTATAGATGAAGAAACAGGGGGTTAAAATCACATTCAAGAACATACCTCTTTTGGCCCTACTGACATCTAAAGGGAATAAAATTATATGATGCAAATAAAAATGGTGTGAGAAGTTAATTTACCATGCAAAGGTGAGACTGGAATGCTCTATCAATAAAGGAACATGTTTATTAGGTAGATGTTGGCCAGGCTTGCAACGCTAAGTCACGCTGAAATTTAGGCTCAGCTCCAGTCGTATAATCCCCAGGTTTTCACTTGTCCATTCTACAGCTCCCATTTCTCAACCATCCTGTTAAAAGATTTGAGTGGAACTGGAGGTTTGAAATGTGGGGGGAATGTTGGCGATGGATAGCTGGTGACCTCATCTACCAAAACTGGCCTCTCCATTTGGTCAATCAGAAGATAGATGATGTGCTGTTTGTGATCTATTTCCTCCTTGCACCCCCAGAAATGAATGTGGACCTTTAGAGAAACCAGCACATCAAAGGTCTGGCTCTTTGCAACAGATCATGTCTTTTTCAAATACCTGACAGATGGAAATAGGCTTCAGAGAATAACAGCAATTATTTTAGCAACAAATATAAATATAGCAAATGCTTTCTGTACCTCTCAGATTATATCTTTATTTTGTTTAATTTTTATATCTAGCTAAGACTGGGCATGTTTATCTGTTCTATATATAGCATAGCTGATTTCCAGTGGCAAGGTGTAATAATTCACATGCTAGCATGAACCTCAGAGGCACCACATGTTCATTTTGTGATGTTTTCCCACTCCTGTCACTAGTTTTAGTCTTAAAATGACCATAATCCTTTCTAGGAAGCTCCCAATTTGTGAACAGATTGGTCTGTCAGGATGTATTTTTTCCCCAATCACTGTTTCTTCCACCAGAATTTATTGAGGGCTTACTATGTGCCAGATATATATTCTTCTGGAGATAGAGCTAAAAACAAAGAAAACAGCCAAATAATCCATACTTATAGTCTCGTTAGGGGAAAGAGGCAATAACAAAATAGGTAAGTAAATTATATAGTATGTTAGAAGGTAATGAGAACTATGAGGAAAATAAAGCAGGGAGTGTTTGGGGGCTCTGCTGGGGTGGGGTGGGAGATACAAGTTTAATTGGAGTTGTTAATGAAGGCGTCACTGAGAAGGTGACTTTTGTACAAAGACTTGAAGAAGATGAAGGAATAAGCCATGTGGAGATCTGGAGGACAACTGTTCCAAGCTGAGGGAACTAGTAAGTGCAAAGGCCCTGAGGCAAGAGTATATCCAGGCATAAGGGAGAAGAAAGAATGAGGCCAGCATGTTGGAGCAGAGGGAGCAAGAACTGGAATAGTAGCTGATGTGCTCGGAAAAGTAACAAGGGCCAGATTCTGTTGGGCTTTGCAAACCTTTGTTATGACTTTGTCTGAGGTCTGTTTCTCATAGAAGTAATACGAATTGTGGGACAGGTTCCCAGAATGACCACCAAAACCCATTAAACCCATACTGCCACTGAACTAAGGTGTTAATCAGACTCTGGGAAGCCGAGCTCAGAGCACTGGACTTAGATCCAGGAGGCAGGGTGTTGACGCGTGGCTCAGTTGGGTGACTGGCATGTCAGTTAACATCTCTGAGCCCCATTTTCCTCATTGGAGAAATAAGGATAAGCAATATCTGCCCCGTGGCTTATTCTGAAGATCAAGTGAAAGCAAAACATAGATGCATTTTGTAGACTGTAAAACGCTATATAAATGTCAGGAGGGGTGGGAACATACCTATTTCAGGGAAATTTAAGTTCAGGACCTAAGTCAGAATGCCAGGAATGCAACCTTCCCGTTTGCCCAGAACTTCTTTTTAAATAGCCATGGAAATGGGCCTCTTTCTCCAGCACTGCAGGTCAAGGAGAGAGCAGGACGCTGCTGACCTCGACAGGTTGGTAGGTCTGTTGCCAAGGGGATGTCCTAGTGAAGAATCACAGCTTCCCTCCCGTGGGCCTTGTGAGCCTCCCCACTCAGGCTGCAGGGCATTAGCTGTCGTCAGAGGGGCAACTTCTCCAAATAACCACGACCGTCTTCTCCTTCCCACCAGGCACTCCTCCTACGGAAGGCTCCTGGATGATCACGACTACGGCTCCTGGGGAAACTACAACAACCCTCTGTATGACGACTCCTAACAGAGGAACGTGGCCTGGGAGGAGGGATAACTGCTCTTTATTTATAAGTGCTTATCCAGTAGAATTAATTACAAGTACCTGAAGCGCATTGAGCGACAATCTTAAGCCCTGTTTTATTGGTTTGGTTGTTTCATTTTCCTCTCTCTCCTTTGGCTGCTACAACTTCCCCTTTCTGGTACAAAAAGAACCATTATTTAAAGGTGTGTAGAGGCTGATTTGCAGCTGAAATGGGCCAACCTTGAGCGAGGGGCCAGACCACCAGGACCCAAGACAGAGGCTTCTGCACCCACCACGGGCCCCACTGCAAGGACTGAGGACGAGCAATCCAGCCAGTTGCTTTGTTAGGGGTTACTTTTCGGGGAACTTTTTGTTCACGGTGTTTCTTAAACTTTTATTTAGAAAATTGCATTCAATCTCAATCATTGGAAAGGAAATGAGTGCTGGGAGGATCTCACTCTGCAGGTAAGGAAGCAGGGATTTCTCAGATTCTTTTTTAATCTCTGCTTACCTGGCTGTGTCTGACAGGACCCCTGTTTGGCTCTGCAAGCTGCACCCCAGCTTCTTAGCGGCCTAATTCATGAAAGAGGAAACTGGAAAGTGCCCCAGAGGAGGTCCGCAGGCACAGCGGCAGAGTTGCAGGTTGCTGTCAGATCTCAGCATCCCTTCTACCTGTCCTCCCCTCCAGGCCACCTGTCTCCGCTAAGGGTGCCTGTCCTAGTGAACAGCAGCTGGGATCCCAGCCCACGAGCAAGCTGGCAGTGGAGCTGCGGTTCCACGGGCGAAGGCTACGAGATGAGCTTACTTAGGCAAGAGAAAGCAAGAGGCCTGCGGAGTGTACAGTGGGGAGAGCGGGGGACAGTGGGGGAAGGAGGGAGCTGACGTGCACTGAGAACCTCATTAGGTGAAGTGGGAATCAGCTCTCAGTAACTGTCAGAGGCATCCACTGCTTGGAGGAGCCCATAGATTCCTTGCTTTATACCCACAAAGCAACTGGTTCTCTGCCAACTGTCTGTTGGATAATGGCTATAAACTGTTTATTAAAAAAATATTTTAAGAGAATATCTGCAGTTGCTCAGTGAGGCATTTCCATAGAAAACAGACATGGTAATTAATCCATTTATTATCCCCATACACTTACCTTACTAATTCTACCCTCTAATAAATCACAACCCCTGAGTAGATAGTCTTAAGATCCTGCATAACAAATCTGAGAAGAACTGATCATTTTTGCAGGTATTGATTTATTGCAGGGGTTCTCAACCAGCAGGTGGTTTTGCACCTCTCCCTGGGAGGTGGGGGAGACGTATGAAGATATCTGGTGACATTTTTTTATTGTGCTACTAGTGAGTAGAGGCCATGGATGCCCTAAACATTCTGCAATGCACAGAAGAGCCCGCCACAACAAAGAATTATCTGGCCAAAAGTGTCGGTAGTGCTGAGTTTGAGAATCCCTAATTTATTGCAGTGCCCATTGTGACAGAAAAGGACACTCTCAGATTTTAAATGAAATAAAATGATTTGTTCAATTTTTATCTCAAAAGTGTTTAATTTGTTAGCTGATGGGTTGTTTGGGACACACTGGTTGCCTTTTTATTTCTTTGTGTGTTCTAGATAGCTTTATTTCATGGCTGTAACTCTGTCCTTCTACAACATCTGATTTTAGCAACAGGCATCTGCTGTCCTGGTTTCATGGAGGAGAAAATATACTTTGGGTCCCATTCCAAAATGTGTATATTGTCTAACAGTGTCATTAAGAACTTGACACTGGTCAGTTTTTATTTCTAAACGTAGGCCTGCTGCCACGACTCTGTTAGTTTCCAGAAACTTGACCCTCAGCTCCTCCTGTCACTTGCTGTGACCAGCAATGTGCTGGCATGTAAACCACCAGTGCCGGTCTGTCCTAAACCCCTCTGGTGTCAGACACCAGAATCCGGGCCATGTCCACAAACCTGCCATCCCACACTCTGAAGAGAATTTATTCCTAAGTTCCTTACGCCCCAAAAGAGAGTGAGCAACCTCTAGAGGAATTTTACAAAAGAGGTAGGTAATGAGGACTGGAATCCTGACATCTCTGATTATTTAAAACATCAAAAAAAATTGTTTAAAGTGGACATGCTCAGAAAAATGGCCAGGAATGGCCGATACCCCTCCAGCACCACTTGGCCTGAGTAACTGTCCCTCTTCCCTACCCTCACTCCCTGCAAAGGCTTTCAGTTGGGCAAAGGATGATTCAATAAAAACAGAACATTCCACATTTTTTATCCCTCAGTCAAAAGCATTCTGACAAAGTGTCCATGAAACACCTCACAGAGGTGCACTTCTGGACACCGCTTCTGTCATAAACACTGATCGGAGGAGCCAGCCTCTTGCCAAGGAGTCCTGACCGATACAAGCCATGGGCTCGGCAGCATCTTTCCTTACCGAAGGCTGCGATTGTGCGAGAGCAGCTGATGCATTTGTGGTTCTTATTAACTTCCACATCCTTATGGAAAACAGAAGAATCTGGACCTACAGCAGATCTCAGCCTGCAGGCAGTTTCATATCTCTCCCCAAGGGGACAGCTTCCTATAAAAACTCTCACACTCCTTGTTGTTAGTATAAAATACCAATGGGATGAACCTTACTTTGCCAATGCATTTTTTTTTCTAATTTTGAGTTGGCCAAAGGATTTTAGCAGCTGAATCCAACAAACTTGCTACACACACACACACACACACACACACACACACACACACACGACCTTTACCTCAGGGAGAGTGTGTCCAGCTCTGCCCAAGGGAAGTGGCTCCATCAGATCTAAACAACCACATACCACCCAGGGATGGGACTTCTCAAGGCATTGGAGGGATGTCGGAGCAGGAGGGAGGCCAGCAGCCTCTTCTAGGCTACAGCATGCACATGATGAAATAATGAGACTCAACTTTGTTTTCTTTACTTGTGGCCCCAATGAAGTCCCCAGCTCTCTTTGGATGTCTGCGTCGTCATTGCTTAAATGGGGGGTGATGCTTTCCTGCTGACCTCACCCCATGCTACCTCACAAATGTGTTGTGAGGACTAATGAAATCATGTCTACAGTGTTTTTGGTTTCTGCAGAAGAGTATTTATAGACACTTTCAGTATTTTACGTATTACATAGGTATATAAGTGATCTCAGTTTCTTGTTTGCTGTTATACTGGTGTGTTGTTTTACTTAAATCTATAAAGTGACAGCTGTGTTGCAGCCACGTCAGGCAGCTGTTACGGCTCCAGGCTGCCCCGTGCAGCGGACTGACTGAGGGCTAACCACGCCTGGAAACAAAGGTTAGTTTCCATCTGCAAATGAAGGATGGCGGAGACACAGGGCTCACAGGCTGTTGAGTTAGGGTCCAGGGGGTTAAGGTACCGCCAACAGCAGTAGACCTCTGGCCTTTACCGTCCTGGGGTCGTCTGGGTTCTTTGTGGGGTTGATATTGGTTTGATATCATCTGTTTCCCCTTCATCTTGCTTGCAAGGGTGCATGGTTGAATCCCTTGCATCTCGGAAATGAATTTTGCAACTGGGCTAGATGCTAATTTGCACGTTGATTCACCTTCTTTGCCTTTAACCTCTTTTTGGCAAATGAATGTACCATTTCAACTTTGATTTTAAAGTACTAGTTGATATTGGTAATAGTGCTAACCAAGAGACCAATGCCAGATTGCTCTCTCGGGGTGAGCTAGCCAACATCATTTAAAGATGGAAAGACCTGCAACTTCTTTGATATTTAATGTAATTGTATCTACATTTGTTGTAAGACTTATTGTATACCAATGATATCAATTAAAGGTGTTAAAAAGTTGTGTCTGACAGTGGTGATTCACATTTTGATGTTTTATTACTCAAGCCATTCAGTTGATATGCCCAATACTGCTTATATTAAGTAGCTCTGGCTTGTTCTTATAGAAAACTTATCCCACACTAATCAGAAAGAATGTATGCACCCCTGTGTTCATAGCAACGTTATTCACAATAGCTAAGAGCTGGAAACAGCTCAAATGCCGGTCAGTAGATGAGTGGCTAAAAAAGCTGTGGGACATTTATGCCGTGGAATACTATGCAGCTGTAAAAAAGAAGGATCTCTTCCCTTTGAGACAACATGGAGGGACCTGGAGAATATTATGTTAAGCTAAATAAGCCAGTCAGAGAAAGACAAATATCACATGATCTCACTTATATGTGGAATCTAATGAATGAAATAAACTGACAAAATAGAGCCAGAGACATGGAAGCAGGCAACAGACTGAGGATTCTTAGAGGGAAAGGGGGTGGGGGCAGGAAGACATTAACCAAAGAATTTATATGTAAACCCACGGACACAGACAACAGTGAGATGAAGGCCTGGGGAGGGGGCAGGAGTGGGGAGGAGGGGGTCAGTGTTGGAGGGGGACATCTGTAAAACTTTCAACAATAAAGGTAAATTTAAAATATAAATAAATACTATTTCCTGCAGTGCAGGGAGGTCTCTCTGATCTTGAAAAAGAATTGAAGAATATCAGAGATGAAGAAACTTTCCAAGCAGTGATTTTACTCTTAACTATGTACTGTGCCTTATAAAATAGATGTTTAAAAAAACCAAACATTTTGATTCAATAAACAGATTGTGATGCCTAATCCAGTCATATAAAAGCATATTGGCACTGACAGTACATTTGATAGTACTTGGTTCACTCTCTTTCCAAAAATTACACTCAGCATACCCATCTTTATCTGACAGTCAAATGGCAAGCAGTATCAATCAGCCAAAACATAATTTCAACCCCAAGAAGCTAACCAAAGATTATTCTGGTTCTGAAGAAAAGAGCAACACCAAATCCCATGCATTTTGTGACACAGGAGAAGAATGGAGCCGCCCGCAAACTAGAGCTCGTTGGTTTCCCAACATGTAAACTTCAGGTCATATTCAATAAGTTTACGTACCTGGCTTCCAGGAGCACAGCCAGGAGGACTGCCTGGGAAGAGTCAAGGCGGGGAATGGGAAGAAAGCACAGAACAGGCCCTTTTCCACTGATTATTTGGTATTTCTTGAGGACCTATTATAGGCATGAAAACAAATAAAGGCTCCATTATTCCCAGGTTGCCTCAACAGAATTTGTCAGAAAGCACTTTAAATGTGCATAGAAAAAAAAGGCTTAATAATAATATGTAGTGTTTATATAGTATGGGTTCTTGGGTTCAAATCAATATTTTCCCCAGCATTATATAGCTTTTTCAAGTCAGATCATAATCTGTTTTGATTATTTAGCACTGTATCTACAATCTTTCACTCTGCTAAAATTCAGTAGTACTAACCAATTGCTAGCTATATTTAGATTGTAGTCAGAAAGCATTAAGTCATAAATGACACTTTAAAAGAACTAATAAAATTGGGAGGGAAACCTATAAGAGGTACGATCTCTTCTCTTAACAGATCTAGTCTTTGGCAAATACAGAATGGACTACATTTACTGCACTTAAACAGCATTAATCAATTGGAGTCAACAAATGTATTGTGTTTCTATTTTAAACAAGACATTGAATATTTACTATTAAAAAAAGGATTGTAATTAATATTCATAAGGACTTTAGATGCCTGTAGGCATTGTCTAATGTAACCTTTGCATCAGCTATAGTGGCCATTACACTCTCCCCATCTTACAGATGAGGAAACTGAGGTTCCAGTATATTAAACTCATTCATGCCTGTACTAAATCCTATGTACTCCATAGTGAATCAGGTGGCTCCCGCTCTCCATATATTTTCAGTTTAATAAGCATCAGAGTTGGGATTCAAACAAAGTTCTTTAGTCACCAGAGCCATTGGTCTTTTTCTTCCCAAGGGATTGGTATCTGATGTAAGTATAACCCAGTTCTTAAGACTCTCACACCTCTTGCTAAAATAGGAGCCTGTACCCTTCACAAAGTCCTCCTGAGCTATTTTGGGCAGTCTTGAAGGTATCTGGCATGCAGCCCACGGCAAGCCCAGTCAGCTCCCAAGCACGTGTCTGCTGACCTCGGCTGCCCCGCTGGGCTGTGTTCTCTGCCAAGGGGGAGATGCCCCCCACCCCGTTCAGTTAGGGCACCAACACAGGGCGCCTCGGTCTCCCAGAGCTTTAGTGAACCCTCTCTCTTAGTTTCCACCTGTGTCCTCCCTGCTCTCCCCCAGTCGTTAGGTGTGAGTCCACAGCAGCCTGTCTAAGGGCGCAGCCTTTGGAATCACTCGCTCTTACCAGAAGACTCCATCAGTGCGCCAACTCGCCTGTCCTTGGTGTCATAATAATGATAGCCTACTCTCGCATGGCACTTGCAATCAGCCAGATACTGTCCTAAGCACTTCACATGAATTGTCCACCCTATGAGGCAGATGTTACTAATATCCTCATTATACAGATGAGAAAACTAAGGACCCAAAAGGCATAGAAACTTGCTCAGGATCACACAGCTCGTCAGTGATGGGGCAGAATTCAAATGCCAAGAGTTGGCCTCCAGGGTCCATGCTCTTGCACTTCCACAAAGCCCTGACTCTGTGCTGGAGGTTCCTGACACACACACTCACCAGCCATCAGACAGGCCCGCCTGTGTCTGAATCCAGGGTGGGACAACCTGAGGCCAAGGCTGCACCCACCAAGGCAAGGTGCCTACCTGAAGGAAGGTTTCTAGAGTGGTCAAAAGGGGGGGCGGGGAGGGCACCTTTGGGGCACCCAGCCTGGTAGACTCTGAGCTGCCTCTATCTAGAGTCTGGCACTTCCAGCCAAGGTCACCCACTCGACATCCACCAGCTCAACAGCAGGGGCCTCCAGGATGACCCTTCCCTTGGCATCAGACCCACACAGCAGGTGTGGTGGGAAAGTCCAGGCCGCTGTCTTGCTCTCCCACTAGCCTTCTCTCCCTTGGCACCTGGACAGAATTCGCTGCAACGAACACTGCCGGGCAGAGTGTTGAAAAAGCCAAGTTGATCAGAAGCCAGGTGTTATCGGGGGGTGAGAGAGACAAATGCCCAGCCCGGCGCCCGTGCCAGGACGTTCCGCTCTGCAACAGAGCTTCATCAGGGAGAACAAGCAAGCACACCGCCCCTCCGCCGGTTTCTGGGATGGTAGTAAGGGTTTAATACAAAGTTAAGGATTTTGTATAGAAATTGGAGTCTCATACAAACTTTGCAAGAGCAGGAAAAGAAAAGGTGAGGGAAGCCGCTAGCTGGTAACTGCTGCAGACCTCGGGGCTCTGGGCAGCGGCCCCCTCTCAGGCCGGGGCGAGGCCGGCGGTCCCCAAGAGCCCCCGGGCAGCCGCGCCTGCCGCCACACCTGAGGGCGGCGCTTCCTGGAAAACGGTTTTGCATTTTCTATATCTCACCTAAGGAGCTCTCATGGACAAGCTCTAGCCAGAACCATAAGGAAAGGGGATTATAAGAAACGTGGTTCCTGGCCCCTCCTCTGTGTTGCAAAGGAGATCTTAGGAAAGGGCGGCAACGAGGCGGAGCTGAAACTAAGCAAATGAGCACAGTCCACCTTCCTTACCCCAGATGAGATCTTCCCCAAAAGGACAACAAGGACATCGTGATATCCCTAAGCCAACGCAGCTGTCTCTTACACAGCTGAGGATCACTCCCCTGCCCCCTAAAAAGAAAGTGCCCCATATGTTCCTTTGGCTCTGGGAATAGTCTCTCTGAGTTCAGATGCAACCTTCCTTTGATAGTCTATTATTTAAATGCCAAATTATCATGTGAACCCTTTGTATTGGAACTGAGGGGGATGAGAAAGGAGAGGAAAATAACTGAGTAATATATATATGAATATACCTATACACATATCAAAGCAGTTCCCAGGCGTCCTTTCTGCAGCAGTCATGTGAGCGCCTGGTGTTTACAACTCTCTTCCCCACTAGCACGGCAGGCACGCTCCTTCTGTCTTCAGCCAACCTTCCAGCGGGTCATGGCTCTTTATGTGGCCCGTGACTTACCCTTCTGCAGAAACGGAAACTAAAAAGGAGAGAGGAAGCTACTGACTGCACACTCTACCATTTCAAATTTTTAAGAGAGGGAGGGATGGAGGGAGGGACTCACATTGCATATAATGTGCCATATACTCTCCCCTCCCAACTTTCATTGCTCTCTCCCCCCCATCCCTCCAGCCCACCTCATCCACCCCCAACAAATAGAAAAAAGAAAAGTGGGAGGGAGAAAACAGAGAAGGGAAACCATCCTCTGCACTTAGCTTGCTGCATGCAGAGCCCTGGGCCATTCCACTTCTCCGTCTACCCATCAAGTCCTCCCAGCCCCCCATTTCTGCTTGGGGTCTTCTCTGGAGAATGATGCATTCTTCGGAAAGCCAGAACTTAATAAAAGAGCTGCGAGGATGAGCAGTGGCTAGTAAGGGCAGGGTTTTCTTTCCTTTACTCACCTCCTGCACAGCCGTTCCACAGACCTTTCCTCCCCTCATGTCCTCCCAACCCCCCACCCCTCCCCTCATGAGGAGAGGCCAGGCTGCTGATGGTTTGCTGAGCCCTGAGAGCAAGCTCTGGAGCTGATATGCAACAAAATGAAATACATTTATCTGTTACAAGAGAAGTAATTCCCAATGGCAGTGCATCCCAGGGGCTGAGGCCCAGGGGCTGTTGGAGGGGTTGTGCCCTCTCCCCCTGAACAGCCATTTCTGGAATGCAGCCAAACTCACTATGCAGCCCCACTCAAGGGGGCATGGCTTGAGGCCTTTGCTTTCCCCTTCCCAGCCTTTTCAGCATAACTGGAGAGGCTGAATTTATGTCTGTCTCCTGTGGGCCAGCTTTTATGCTCCTATGAGTTCAGGTAAACCCTGAGCTAGCTTCTTGGGGGACTGATC